TCTTGATTGGTTGTTGATGCAATTAGATGTAAAAGACGTTGTCCTCAATAGTGAGCTTAGTGAAGAAGTATACATGGACTTCCCTCAGGGATTTTAAAATTCGGAAGGGAAAGTATGTAGGCTTAAAGAGTCACTGTACGGGCTAAAACAATCACCAAGGGCATGGTTCAGCCGATTCACTCAAGCTGGAACAAGTAGGGGACATAGTAAGGAAAAGAAGATCACACGGTGTTCTCCAAGCACTCGGAAAATGGTAAGATTGCAATTCTTATTGTGTATGTTGATGACATAACAATGACAGGTGATCAGAATAAAATCAACAAGTTCAAGGCCTACCCCAGTTTGGAGTTTGAAATGAAAAACCTCGGATCACTCAAATACTTCCTAGGAAGGGAGGTAGCGAGAAGCCTCAAAAAGGAACCTCTGTCTCACAAAAGAAAGTATGCCATAGATTAACTAACTGAGACAAGAATGATGGTTACTAGACCTGCTGACACCCCAATGAAATTCAACAAAAAAATTGGGAATCAAAGACGATGGACCTGCTGTTGACGGAGAAAGATATCACAGACTAGTGGGAAAACTTATCTATCTCTCGCAGACAGGACCTGTTATTTTTGTTCCGAGTGTTATCAGCCAATTATGCACTCCCCTAAGGAGAGACATTTGGAAGCCACTTATCAAGTTCTAAGGTACTTAAAGGTCCTCCAGGAATGGGATTGCACTTCAAGAAAGGAGAAAACAGATTCATTGAAGTGTTTACAAATACCAACGAGGCAGGCACTGCTGATGATGGTCGCTCACACGTGGATATCACAGTTATATATGGGGAAACCTTGTGATATGGAGGAGCAAAAAACATGCAATCGTACCTTGGAGCAGTGCTGAATCAGAGTTTCGAGCAGTAGCAAATGGAACATGTGAAGGGATATGGCTAAGAAAGGCTATTGGAGGAACTACGAGTACCATTCAAACCACCAATTGAACTTTCTCGTGACAACAAAGCTGCCATCATCATAGCTCACAACCTGGTTCATCATGATCAGACCAAGCACGTGGAAGTTGATCGTCATTTTATAAAGGAAAAATTATACTACAGGAGTATGTGCATTGTATACCTACCCTCAACACAACAAGTAGCTGATCTACTGACCAAAAGTCTCACGAAAAAGCTGTTTAGTTTGACGAACTTACTGGCAAGCTCGGCATTGACATGATTAACATATACCTGCGAGCTTGAGGGAGAGTGTTAGAACTTAGAGATTCTTCTAGAAGATGAGATTAATTAGTTGCAACTTTTTTCCTAGTCTTCTAAGATGATAAGGTTCGGTTTGTTTCCTGAGCTTTAGAATCAGTTTGTTGTATCCTTATACTATAAATTTTGTACGGTTCCTGTTTGAGAAAAATACACAAAAACCATTTCTCTTGATTGCATATATATATATATATATATATATATATATATATAAACATACACACGTAAATAACTTAATATATCACATATGTAAATATATCTAATACATATAAAGTGAGGTAAAACAAATCAAGTCCCACAAAGAAACATAGTAATAAAGTTCGTAAAGTTTATGATTGATCCAGTTGTAAATAGCGGTAAATCAAGGTAAACAGCAACGCTAATTGCGGAACCACTATTTCCTAGACCAATGACTAAAGGCTATAGCACCACAATTAATTTCCCAGCTATGAAGTACAACTAAATGAGTGCACGGTGACTCATGTTTTCTTTGAGGGAGAACAGAACCAGTTTGTTATAAAGAAGCTATGAGGTGTGTGTAACGGAAGGCAACAATGCAAGAAGAGATTCATGCTTTAAGAAGAAACGAGAATTGGGATCTTGTGCCAAAACATGAAAGTTGTAAACCAATCACATGCAAGTGGGTGTATCGGTTGAGGAAACCAAATGGCGAAATCGACAAATACAAAACACATCTAGTGGCTAGTGGCTTCTCTCAAAGCTATGGCATGGAACTGGACTACGAAGAAACCTTCAGCCTCGTGGAAAAATTGGTAATGGTAAGAAAGATCATTTCACTTGCTGCTTACATAAGTTGGACGTCGTGCCAACTATATGTAAATAATGCATTTCTTAACGAAGAGTTGGTTCATGAAGTGATGATGAACAACCCAAGGATTCATCTCTCACGAAGTTCCTCATCATGTTTGTCGACTAAAGAAGCATTATATACAGACTCAAGCAAGCACCCCGAGCTTGGTACAGTAAAGTGGCTCAATACTCCGTCCTTTGTGGATTGAAAGTTTCTGATGCTGATTCTGCTCGGTTTGTAAAGCAAGATTAAAACTCGTATTCATTGGTATTGCTTTATGTTGACGGCATGATAATCATCGGAGATGATGAAGCGGGAATCAGCCGGTTAAGAATGAACTATCGATTTGTTTCGAAATGAAAAACCTAGGTGAAATTGGTTGTTTTCTTGGCTTAGAAGTGGAATGATTAAGCCAAGGGTGTTTTTTTATCTCAAAGAAGATATGCAAAGAACCTAGAACTATTTGAGTAATCTGGCATGTGGGATTCAAAGGAGAAACTTACACCAATGGATACGCATCTCAAACTCGGGAAAGGAGTTTTGCTACATGACGTTATACGATTCAAACAAGTTGTTGGTAGTTTAATTTACTCAACTATCACAAGGCTTCAAATAAGTTATGCTATTAGTTTTATATCCCAGTTAATGCAAAGTCCAACAGCCCTTCATCTAGATGCTGCAAAGAGAGTCATGTGCTATGTAAAAGGTACCTGGTCGATAACTATCTATTGGAAGGATTAAACAGATGCAAATTGGGCAGGCGACACGAACTATTATTGTTCAACAACGGGGTATTGCTTCAATATGGATTCAGCAGCCATCTCTTGGTGCAGCAAGAAGCAACCCACTATTGCATTGTCCAACACTGAAGTTGAATACATGGCTACAACCATGGCTACCCAAGAATGCATGTAGCTGGAATGTATGATTAAAGACATTCTTTATAAGACTATCTATGCAGTTCCGATTTACTGTAAAAATAAAAGTACCATCAAACTTGCATCCAATGCGGTTTTTATAGGAAGAACGAAGCATATCAATGTTCGCTATCACTTCGTTAAAGACAAAGTCCTAAACCAAGAAGTTGAGAAGGGAGTCCCAACACTCATCATCTGGCTTATGTGTTTACACAAACACTAGCTAATCTTGGAGTTGTTGATTGGAAGCATGTACTAAGGGGGAGTCTTGAAAAATAGTGCATCTTGTTATTCTCTCTACTGCTTATTTTTTTTCTTTAAACTTTCATTTGTTATCTTGGGTAGACCAAGTAAACAGACACGTGTCAAATTCCTACCCTTATAGGTGGAATGGTTTGGAGGTTGGGAGAAATGGTGACACTCTTACAAGTATGTCTTGTTAATTATGTTGGTGACATTGCGGGGAGGAAATCTTTGACTAGTTTGTATTTCTCTTTGGTTTTGTGAGTAAGTTGGAAGGCTCCTTTAGTAAATATGGTTGTTTCCTTTGCTATAGAGGCAAAGGGTATGCTGGCTTATCTAGTCAAGGGCCTCGTTCAGGGAGCTTGGCTTGGATTATGGTGCGAGTGTTGTGCATTGTGGCAGTCAAATTGCAGGAATGATCTTTAAGATGTATCATGAGATTGCGAAGCACATTCAGTTACCGTATCATCTTATAGTTTAATGTCTTTCTATCAGATCATTCCTGTGTTTCAGGTCTCAAGTTTCATTTGAAGCTTTAGACAAAGTTGTTATTGAGATATTAGACCCTTATGGGTATCTTTTTACATTCTGACTATTGACCAAGAGAATAAGTCAACTTCTAAGATATTGTTGTTAAAGGAAGTATTCAAGTCTTATACACCGGAACCATAGACAATCTAGTAGATATGTTAACCAAACCTGAATGTATGCCCAGTTCAAGGATTGCTTGGGTTTCATTAATAATGTCTCTTGCACTTGATTTCCATCTTGCAAGATGTGAAGATTTTATGTTTCATTAAGTGGAGGATCGAGACTATGATACTTATATGTTGGATACTTTTTGAATTCAAGTTATGCAACATGTTTATAACCTGACAAGATTCAAGTTATGCACCTGAAATTTGTTTCTTTCTTGAAAACACAATTTTGAATTGCCTTTATGAATTGAAAAAAATATGTGTTTCAAGTGGACCATGGATCACCTAAATAGGCATGATGTTTGCTGAAGTCAAACATCATAATCATCTACGGTGAAAGAGACATGCTCCATTGCCACATACCTGTAGCAATATATGATTTTGACTAAGCTGCCTTAACCGTCCAACTCCACATCACTTATGTGGCAATCATCATTCAAACTTTTAAGGGTGTTCTAATCGTATGAGATGTCACATACTCATAAGAGACAAAAAAGGTAACATATATTTGTAGTGAAGTCATGGGGAATGGAGCCAAGTTTTTGCAATAAAAATTATTCTATTCATCCAGTGTAACCATTCATTCACATCTAATCAACTTCTTGATCAATAAACAACTGTAAGGTGCCAGTTATAAAGGCATGATGAATTCAGATGGTATACTCAGAAAACCATATCAGAGAAATATATGTACATAAAACCATATCATAACTTCAGTTATATGCTTTCAAGTTGATTCACATTGTAAACAAAAGGGGGGCAGGGAGCGGAATATCATTCCTAACCTAGTGGAGGTCAAAAGAATTAACAAGCTTATGCAATAACTGTAGAAACAAACAAAATTAGGTCATGGGAAAAAATGAACATTTATTTTCCTTCTGGTCAATTTGTAATCAACAAACTACAGCTAGAAAAGCAATATGAATATTCCAGAGAACAAAATCTAAATAGAAAGGGTTAGCTAACATAAAGAAGGAATTGTCTACAAAAATAAGAGAAAATGAAGGATTAGTGATTATATTCAGTATGCATTAGCCAGACAGTAATGAAATATAGCAAGAAAAAGAGATACAGACCAAGAGAGTACGCCCATGACCACTTTCTTGAGTCTGGATAGTACTCAAGTGAATCATTTTTATTACTTCATCCATTTCCTGGAGTTTCGGTCCCATCAAGATGCTGAAACAGGGAACCAGCAGCGACAATGAAGTCTCCTTTAGATGCAGTGAGTTGGGTTAAAAGTTAAATACCTACCTACTGCGCCCGCCAAGATGTCCAACATGATCCAAACCAAGATAATGAAGAACCTGAAATGATATTGCAGAGAATTCTAGCGTCAAGGCAAATAAAGTTGCCTGGATGTAATAAATAGTTCAAATAGGTTTCAGATGCCTTATGTCTATCAGGGTACTTTATGAGTTCATAAATACATGTGCACATCAATTCACCAGTTTGAAAAAGATGTCTCCGCCAACAAATCCACAGATACAAATTATCTATACTGCCAAGATTAATTTCATTTTCAATGTTATCAGTGAAACAAATATAGCAAGGTGATGAGAATGCCAAAGATATTGTTGTATTTAGTTTCTTTAATAAGTTCCTAAAATTCTATTCGTAATTAGGAATTGATGGATCAACTTATTTGGAAAATAATGTGAATCAGTAGAGAGAAATAATTAGGGTTGTAATTAGTTAGAAGTTCCTATTTTCATGTATATTATACCTAATGAGAAGATTGTATAGACTATACAGCATTGTTTCTCCCATCTGCAACTTACCTCCATTTCTACAATGTACCAGAGCTTGGTTCTTTCTCAAGCTAAAATTTTCCTTTCAGATCATTATTATGACAAAAATCAATAAGAATTCTCTAACCAACACACCTACATCATCCTTTAGCCATAAGCCATCTCACCTTGAAAACATTATGTCAATCACCACAATTAGAATGAATGGCAATAACTTATTGCTTTGGTTCAATTAGTACGCATGTATCTGCAAGGATGAGGAAAGATGGGTTATATAATGGGTGAAACAAAGGAGCCACCCACTATAGATCCCCTACATGTAGCATGTGACGCTAAAATACCATGGTGATGGATAGCTCATGAATTGCATGGAGGAGAATCCAACTACATGTGTTGGCCGACGGCAATGAAACTACGGGAGAATGCCAATCAGATGTACACCATCCCAAATATTTGAACTAAGCTTGAAACTTAGAGATATGCAACAAAGAGATGAATATATTTCCAATAACTTCAATCACCTGAAGCAAGTGTGGCAAAATTCAGACTTGTTAAATGCCTACTAGTGAAAAATCCACTGAAGATAGTAACCACTTCAAGAATGTAGTTGAAAACAACCCAAATCTGCCAATATTTGGCTGGCATGAATGTATAATTTGATGAAGTTAGAGGGTGTATCTTTGGAAAACACCCCTTACCACCAATGGTGAGAGCATTATGAAGTTAGAAGGGAGGAAAACCATAGGAGTATTATGCTGGAAAAAAGGGTTTCATGACTACCCGTGAAAGTTCCATTAGTTGTTTGAAATACCAATCTTGGTAGAACCCTCAACCCTTCACAGACCCCAGGATTTGTGTGACCACATAAACCTCAGCATACGAAAGAGAATGCTACCGGATACGTGGCAAACTTGCAAATTTGAAGAGTGACAGGGAGAATGACACTACCCGCATATTATCCACTGCTAAAGAGGTTGCTGTATTTATTCCCTCGACCCTGTTTGATGAAGAGCAAATGGATCATCTTCAAAAATTGTTACTAGTTCATATTGGTATTTTTGTCATTTCCATAGAATCAGGTAGAAATCCTAATGCTCTTTCATGTTCACTGAATTCAACCCCTTGGATATAGATTCAGGTGCCTCAAAGCATATGACTAGTCGTGCTAATCTATTTATCACCTATCATGAGAAAATAATAGCTATTGGAAGTTTCTCACCAATTCCACGAATCAAAACAGGATAAACGTTTTAGTCAATTAGAAAAAAGTATTTCGCAAGAATGGATGTAACTTTCTTGAGTCTTATGCCCCACACAATCTTGGAAGTATCAAACCCACTTATTTAGGAAATACAAAATCAAAAGTGTTGTCCTAGCATACACATCACACACAAAGAAAAAATACCACGACAAAATAAATTGAACTCTTAGCTTCAGGTTTATAATAGGCAAGGGGAATAAAATGGGTCGCAAAGATGTATCTATAATCCAAACTTGAGTTCATCCAGACCTTCAAGCAACAAGATTCTAGAAACTCGAGGTAGCCCACTTCAACTCTATCTCCTAGCAACCAGTATAAACCCATTGTTTGTTGATGTTCCAATAGCTATTAGAAATTAAAAAAAAAAACATGTAATCATCATTCCAATGCTAAATAAATATCTTCCCAAAAATTCCCCTCAAACTTAAAGCTTATGTCGCCTAGATATCTAATCTGATTGTACCTAGAAATATTAAGAAAGTCCTTAATAACCCATATTGGAAATTAGCAGTTCTACAAGAAGTGTATGCTCTTATAAAATTGGTACTTGGGAAATTACAGATCTACCTTACAGTAAAAAGGTTGTGGGCTGTAAAATGGTACTGACAATTAATGATAGGCGTTGAGAGATATAAAGCAAGATTTGTGGAGGGGGGTTTCACACATAATTATACGGTTGATCATCAAGAGACATTTTCCACAGTGGCAAAAATAAACTCTACCCAAGTCCTACTATCTATACTTTTGAACTTCGATTAGAAATTGCATCCTTGGATGTAAGGAATGCATTTCTAAATGAAAACTTAGAGAAAGAAGTATGTGAATCTACCTATATATGTCTTTGCCACTCCCTGGAGGGGAAATTTTTTCATTTTAGTAGCAACARAGTTGTTCACCAAATGGGCGGAAGCAGTTTCACTACGCCGAGACAACTTTTTCCTTCTCGTAGTTCTACTTGTTAATAAAAAGAGTGTATAAAAGAGGGGTTGCAGCCCAATCCCTCATTCGATCTCTTAATAGATCTAGAAGTATGAGCAGTAGGAGCTGAAAGGCTCCCATACTGTTTGGAGGGCTGCACTGCGTTGGCTTCCATCATAGGTTGGATAGTACGACTCATGCGTCTGAAGGTAGCTTGCTTACCAAGCCACCCACTTGAGAAGCTGGTCACTAGAAATAAGCGACCAGGAAGCGAAGCTGTCTTAGCGAGTATGGGTTATGTGTTCCGGTCGGGGATAACAATGTGATGTAGGTAAAGTATTTTATCTAAGGTGCCAAAGAGTCCCCCCTTGCTCATTTTCTTCTTGATGAAGAATACTAACAGTGAAAAGAGATATTCAGAAAAGCCGATTTCCTGTCCTGTCCGCAGCAGTTCTGGAAGGCACATGAGTCCATATAGGTCCAATCTCATCTGCTAGTGCTTCCCAAAAGAAGCATCAAGAAAGGTCAAGCATATATGTTTTATGAAATGATCAGCGGGCTCATTCTATTTGTATTGCTATTGTTTACTCATATCTAGCTTCTCAAAGTTTAGCATATCTATTGTGTTAATCCCTTTTCACACTTTTTTCTAGCTGGGGCCTTGTTAGACTAAGTTAAATAACCTTATTGTTGAGGGTATTAAAGTGTAACTGCTTAGGGTATTAAAGTGTAATTATCTGTCCTATATATAGGGCAC